CTTTAAAAAAAAAAAAAAGAAAAACATGGTGTGCAAAGTAGGGGACTCGTCCAAATGCTTCCTCATCCAACTACATGTGATCTTTGTCACCCTCCATACTGGACCAGGGAAGCATGCTTTCTCATTCACCCTCAGGAGAAGACATATCAAACATTAAAAGACTAAACAACTTCTCATGTGAAATAAGCCAGCCACTAGCTTCCGAAGTGGCAAATATCAGCTTCTGAATCTAAAATCCTATTTGTTATCAATAACCACGAGTTGAAAATATTCTCAATCTCACTAGATACCAGTGAATGCAGATTAAAACATGATTCTATTTCATGCTTATAAAATTAACAAAGATTAAAAAGCATCAGAATATTCAGAACTAGCAAAGACCAGGAGAAACAAAGTTCTCATTTACAACTGGTGGGAGTGTGCTCCAAAATATCCAATCCAGGATTGCTGAGTAAAGTTTAAAAATATGTATCCTTGCCAATTCAACAATTCCACTCTTGATATGAAATGGAAACTCTCATTCATAGGCACACTTTTGAATAAGGATGTTCCCTGACATGAAAAGCTAAACTGTGGCATACAATGGAATATCAAAGAGCAATGAAAACGTGGCATCATAAAATGGATTACTGCTCAGCTGTCAAAATTAGGCCAATCTACCTCCATTACCACGAACACATTTCAGAAGCAACACAGAATCAGTCAGGCAGCCTTCAGAATGGAACAGTACAGCACCATTTACATACATTTCTAGTATCAGGGAAAATACTCTGTATTTGTTATGAATGCACACTAATGTAGTAAAATTCGAACACACCGAGATGTGGAAGGGTACGCACCACAGACACAAATGGGAGGGAGGACAAAGGAACGCAGGAGGTAACAGGGTGCCGTAACCGCAAAGTTTTACTTATTAAAAAATGCCATGAGCACTTTGCCATCTCCCCTTCTCTTATCTTTGCAAGGTTTTTATTGGCTCTCCCCCCCTCCCCTTTTCTTCTCCATTGCCTTCCCTGAGGTGGCAGGGCCAGCAGGTTTTAAAACTGGGACCAGGGAGACCTTGGGGCTGAAGGAGGTAACCAGCAGAGGTGGACAGTGAGCAAACACGTATACACCAGGGCAAAGGCCAGCCAGGTTTCTCTGTTGCAGGACGGAGTTACGCACATGGAAATGTGAAGGCTGCAATAACCCCATGGGTGTTGGAATGGAAGTACTGATATGGACTCACGATTTCATTATATATTTGTACAGACAGATATAGAAATAGAAACATGGGTGCATGTATATAAATATGCATATATGTGTGAATACACACACTCATTTCCTAGCTCTGTCTGCAAAAGTTCTAGGAGGTTGGCACTGTTGTCTCTATTTTGCAGATTAAAGAACTGGGGCGTGCAGAGGTATGTAACCTGACCAAAGTCAAAAACCTCATATGTAGAAGGTCAGGATTTGAACCCAAGCAGTGTGACCATACAGTCTGACTCCTAACTACTACAATATGCATAAACTTCCTGTAAGGGGAAACGGTAACTAGGGGCTGATGCAAGCACACACTCTTCTGTCGACCTGGCCACATCTGAAAATCAATTTTAGATACTTACTTAACCCCATAAGTATCAATGAAACCTTACACTCCCAACTCCTAAAATACACAGCATTTGCTAGACAGGTGACAACTCGTGGTTCCTTGGAGCCATCGGACAAACAAGCAATAAATTCTCCCTCAATTCTTTTCAGGGCACCCAAACTGAGCCTGGCGGGACTCCCTGTCACCTGTAGTAGCTGAGAACATCTCGGTCTTCCTTTTGTCCTTCTTTAGCATCCTGCGCCAGTTCCCTGACGCTCTTGCTGCGAATCTCCTTGCTGCTGTCCCTCCAGAAGAGCCACACCTCTTCTTCATCTTCTCCTGCCTCCAGAGCATTCTCTCCAGTAGAAACACCCTCAAATTCAAAACGAGAAAGAACCAACCTGGACAGTAAGAGGAAGAGGGAAAACTCATTATGTTGAAATACTTGCTCGTGCTGGAATCTAGCTTCACTTTCAGCATGAAGATAAAATGAAAACCATTCCTTCCCTCAATGGCAGGATCACAAAGAGCCAAACATTAACTTCTTCATATACTTTATCCCAGCGGTTCTCAAGCAGGGTGACTTTATCTGCCCTGTCCCCTCTCAAGGAGACATCTGGCAATGTCGGTGGACATTTTCACATTTCGGTTTGTCCCAACGGAGTGGGGGGGGTATAATGGGCACCTACTGGGTAGAGGCCCAGGATGCTGCTAAATGCACAGGACAGTACCCCATGACAAACAATTATTCAGGCCCAAATGTCAAAATGCTCAAGTTGCATTAGTCCAAGCCCCAAATTAGTCACTTAGTTTTGTTTGTTGAAACAAACAAAAAAAATCACTAGCTCAGGGCCTAATTGAGTTTGGGGTTTTGTTTTATTTTTTCAACATTGGCCCTATTACTGGCACTGTACTTACCAGGAAACGGTTCCTTTGCTAAAAATGAATCACTACTATTACCAAAGTTTCTATGCACCACTAAACACTTTTTGAACAGTGATAACTTAAAAAGCTCTGCCCTACAGCGTCTTACTATCACCATTGAATTAGCACCTTCAAATTTTAAAACTGATTATCATACTTAAAGAACTTTAAGCTCTTAAAATGAAACTAAGTGTGTGCAAATGCTCTCTGGTGAATATATATCAGTTTTCAACCAGTGTGCAAAGTAAGTGCAGAGCAAACTTCATTTCCCTATCAAGGACCTTTGCCTCAGACAGATCCCATGCCAGCCCATCCGACTTCAGACCAAGTCTGAAGAAATCAAAGGGTTAAGTTCTATTAGTCAGGAGTGCAGGCATCCACTGGGCCACACATTCTCTACCTAAATCCCTTTCTCACCTGTATCTTAAATCCCAAGACCCCCACTCACTTGGTCTCAATCAGGATGTCGGCATTGGTTGGATTCAGCACAGCTTTACATATCAGTTCCTGGGTCACTGGGATCGATTTGTTCATGGACACACAGAGGTCGGAGAGATAATCTAAGAATCTGCCGAGAGAGAGAAAGCAAACAAGACATTTTCTGTAACCAGAGCAGAGGTTTGGCTCTTGGAGCCCAACTCTTTGCAAGTGGACAGATCCAACAGAGCATGCACCAAAGAAATCAGAGACAGTTTAGGTTTTGGTGCCAGTGTCCACGGCACCACCAGAAACCCAGTCGTCGTAAGAGAGGAAAGAAAGAAAGAAGCAAACGAGGAAAGATGACAGTGGCTAGGGCAGACGAGGAAGTGATGAGGCAAAAATGCACAAAACAGGGGTGCCTGGGTGACTCAGTCATTAAGCGTCTGCCTTCAGCTCAGGTCATGATCCCAGGGTCCTGGGATCTAGCCCCGCATCGGGCTCCCTGCTCAGCAGGAAGCCTGCTTCTCCCTCTCCTATTCCCCCTGCTTGTATTCCCTCTCTCGCTGTGAAATAAATAAATAAAATCTTTAAAAAAAATGCACAAAACAAGATAAGGAAGAAGCTCACGTAAGGGAGCTGTGGGGAAGATGGAGGGGAAGCAGAGAGGCGAGGAAAGGCCCTGAGGCCTGAGTACCCCAGCTGGAATCCCTGCTCTGATTCTCATTAATTATGTTCCCATATGCAGTGTGACCTAGGGAGGTTTCTGGACCTCGCTGTGCTTCACTCTTCTCATCTACAGCAGAGGGTAATGTATAACCTCAGAGAACTGTCCTGAGGATTAAATGAGATAATTCATGGCAAGTGCTGACTTAGTTCACTCCCAGGTACGTGAGAATGCTCCACAAACTTTACTTACCTCTGTGGGTGGGAGGAGTCATTTTACAACACTATCAGCTCTCCAGTGTGATCATTCACGGTAACTATATTATAAACTATTTCCCACTTCTAAAATGTGGTGGATCCCTTTCTTTTTTAAAGATTTTATTTATTTACTTGAGAGAAAGAGAGAGCAAGAGAGAGAGTACAAGCAGGGGGAGGGGCAGAAAGAGAGGGGAAGCAGACTCCCCGCTGAGCAGGAAGCCTGACATGGGGCTCGATCCCAGGACCCTGGGATCATGACCGAAGCCGAAGGAAGATGCTTAACCCACTGAGCCATTCAGGCGCCCTGATGTTGTGGATCTTAATCAGGAGAAGAGGGAAGAGAGTAAGAAGACAGGGAGATCCATGTAAATGAGAAAAAACAGAATTCTAACATAAAATAAAAACACTCAAGTAACAACTAAGTTTGCAAAAGACTCTTACTGATGATATTTGGGGGAGATGTTCTAACTGATAATCAGGGGGTGCTAAACAGTGACTGAGTGGCCAAAACTGTCATTTACTGTGCATCTACTAAGTACCAGGCACTTCCCATGCATTTATTCTCATTCAATTTTCATAACCATCCATTTAGCATAGAAGGAAATTAAAGCTCAAGGGGAAAGCGAAGCTCACCTAGCTGGTAAATATTAGAGCTAGGATTCCACTACGGGTCTATTCCAATACCATGTTTTTTCCACTACTCATCCAAGAGCCTCTCAAGGCCGGCCTAAAAGAAATCTGTCACTGGCAGACCTCAAAAAGGAAACCTAGCCAAAAGCACCATGACTAGCTGAGTGCCTGCATCTTCAGTGCCCAGACAGCTTCCGCCGATCAGGCCCACTTCCGCCTCACCTGGGCTCCCTGTTCTTTCGCACCAGACTGACAAACGTGTCGATCTCAGCAGCGGTGATGTGTTTTTCCAGGAGTTTTCGGTTATTGTGAAGTAGGGCAGTGATCGTGTCTTCGGCCAACACATCATAGCCAATCTGCTTCTGCATGAAGCCAAACTGCTTGGCTATGTACTCCTTTTAAGGAAGAAAAGAGAGGTCAGCAGAAACAACAAAAGATATTAAGGTTAACCCAAAACTAAGGGAAGTAGCAACAGTCCCTGATGAAAATTATTTTTCATAAGGGAAATCCTAGTGGAGCATCTTTCCACAACTCTCTAATCTAGGACAGCAGCTGCAAACTCCCCCACATCCTTCATTCTACTAAACCCACCACACAAATGTAATTAAGCAAATTATCCTGCATGTACAGATGGGCATTTTATTAAGTGCACAGGATAAATATTAATGTGGTGACTTATTTTTCTAAAAGGTCAAAGGCGGTTTTCCAGCTCTGATTTTATTACTAATTCAAGAGATTTAACTGTGCGTTACTGCTCTGTACTGCTGAATAAACACACTTAAGCCTACCTAGGTATTTAGAACAATATTACCCCATTCTGTTTTCTTTATCTGGGGTGAAAATACATTTTTATAGTCAATGGGTAGCAGGAGCAACTTAGGAATACCTAAGCCAGGCAATCAGATTCACAGAACATATGAAAACACCTCTGGCTTCTCTCTTTGGGGATCAGACATGACATTCCATAAAAATATATGAGAACTCAGGGAAGCCTCTTGCAGATATTTGTTTGTTTCTATTCAAAGATATATCCTTTCCCAAGACAGACTATTTGTGTCCTGAAAGTTCTAAAAGCCCTTTAAACTCGGCTTAATTTTTTTTAATTAACTCCAAAATCCTAAAAACTACTCAGGGTGTCCACAGTGGACACTGGCCACTTTTCAGCCCATGTTCAATAAGGATGCATGTTTGGGAATTCACCAGCCTTCAGGGACATACTACTGTCAAGCGTCATAGAATCTATAGATAAAAAGCAAAGACAGTCAATGTAGCAGCAGTGAGAGGGACTGGGTGTTTTCATGTAAAGCAAAATGTGCTGGCACACACCAGAGGCTCTGAGGCATCCTCATCTGAAGATGGCAGAGAGGAAGAGAATAAAATCTCTTTGGCACTATTGGAGTATGGTGTTAACGCACTGCAGGTGGATTTAAAGCCACCGGACCACCCAAAGACCACCTGTCCACACTAATGAACACAGCATCATAGGTATAGGACACTCAATTTCAACAGTAGTAAAGGCCAAGTCAAAAGCTTAGCAATGCACGCTAACAAGGTTTCATCTGATACTTTAGAGCATTGCCTCAGCTTAACACTACCTTCATGACAAAACTTTAATTACAGGGGGAAGTTTAAATTTAAAGGCCAGATGTCATGGCAGTCAAAAGTTTACAAACAAAAGCCTTTCGTAACACAATGCAGAGACTGGGAGTCAAGGTTATCAAAAGTGTCATCTGTGCACCTACAGTACTTCATGTCACAAAGTGCAGGGCTCCTCAAGCTCAGTACTACTGACTTTCAGGGCTGGATAACTGTTTGTTGTCCGGGGATGTCCTGTGCATTCCTGGACATTCCTTCTACCCACTAGATGTCAGCAGCACCTCCAAGTGGTGACACTCATAAGGGTCTCCCAACATTGCCAAGTATTTCCTGGGGGACAAAATTAGTCCCAGCTGAGAACTACTAAATGTGGCAACACAGTTCACAGGTTTCCTTAAAAATCTCAAACTGATGGGAACCCCCAGAGAGGTTAGAACCTTTATTTTATGGGGAGAGGACAATATAGACAGTGCCATGACATACACAAGGACTTTGAATGTCATAAAACATGAGCCAAAACCAAAATAAAGAGAAAGTTACCAGCAGACATGGAGGATATGGAAGGGAGCAGGAAGAAAAGATTCTGCTCTACCTTTAATATAAACACATGCAATCACTTCCTTAAACCTTAAGGCAAGGTGCCATAAAAAACACTAGAAATGTCAAAAAAAAAAAAAAAAAAAAAACACCTCACTGAAAGGTGGTTGCAGAAGGGGACTTCTCAGGTATTTTTCTTAGGGACTCTGTCTTTTTCTCAGGCTTGCAAAAATGTATTTCCTTTCTAAGCGCAAACTTAATAAACCGTTCTCTAGCAATTAAGTAACAACAGATGTAAGACTTAAAACTCATGAGGCAAGTATATGAGCTTCGATCAATCCCGAATTCTAACCTGGTTTTTCCTGTAGTCTTGCTGGGAGTGTCTCAGGACCCTGTAGCACAGCCGGCAGATATGTCTGAAAGGGGCATGCCGCTGGTCCCCAAGCTCCTCCAGCCGCAGCATGGGGCCATCACCACAGTCCGTGAATGGGGCTTGTAACAACTTGAAGATCTGATTGTGAGAAAGAAGAACAGGCACTGCCATCATTTAGAGTGTTAATGGCTAGCCCTGTGTCCCAAACTAATCTAAGCTCACAGGTGGCAGGCCTGCCCTGGCAACTCTCTCTAGATGGACATCAATAACCTGAATATTATATGCAGTCCATCAACTGGGACTAGCTATTCACTGAAATCAGGCCACCTGGACCTAATTGGTCCTCAAACACTTGGATGTGTGTGCAAAGATGGTGTGAAGGGCAACAGTGAAGAGTACAGACTCTGGAATAACAGATTCTAGGTTGAAATCACACTCCCGCATTATTCCCTAGCGGTATAAAGCACAGTCGAGGTAACTTCTGGTTTTCTCCTCAGTAAAATGGAAAGAATACCACCCAGCTCCCGAGGGGATCCTAAGGATAAAAGGGGATAATAACTGTCAGTTGCATAAATATAGTGCTCAATGAAGGCTTCTGCCATGGAATCCGACCATTCTGGCCCCTCAAGGAATTACTATGGTGGAAAATGAGCATTGACATGGAGCCTGAGATCTAATCTGGGAGTCATCCCATGAAACAGCTGGACATGATTTTTTCTTGGATGGGAAATCCTTGCTGAAACATGATGGAGTGTTAATAAATTTTGTCTATCATCAACTGACAGGAGAAAAGATTCTCAAATCCCAAGTTCCTATGGAGAACTGTAAGACTAATAACTAATATGTTTTTCTTTGGGGTTTAGTGGCCAGGAATTTCTAAGCCAAGCATATAGCCAATGTATAGCTTTCCAGAACTATATGGTATATGCATTTCTGTGCACTTCATCTACTCTTGTCACCTACCCCCCTATAATTTGTCTTTACACCAGTTTTTTAAATTTATGCCAAATAATACCATCTATACATGTTCTATAAGCCACTTACTCATCCTTTATGGTAAGATTTTGTGGTGGTTTATAGAGTTCCCTATTTATCAAACACTCCAAATCTCCCAAACATACGAAATAACCTTAAGGACACACAGCACTTGCTGTTATTTTTGATGAAAATAAAGTTGTCAAGTGAACTCTTCTTGGATTTCCTAACATGTGAATGCTCACACATTCATATTCAACAAGTGTGTTTTCAACTGAACTGAGCTAAGAAGCCATGAAAAGACACAGAGGAATCTTAGATGCATATTACTAAGTGAAAGAAGACAATCTGGAAAGGCTACATACTGTATGATTCGCACTATAGGACATTCTGGAAAAGGCTAAATGATGGAGACAATAAAAGGACAGTGGTTGCCAGGGGGTAAGGGGAGGGAGGAATGAATAGACAGAGTATGGAGGATTTTTAGGACAGTGAAAATACTCTGCATGATATTATAATGATAGATATGTCATTATACATTTGCCTAAACCCAAAGAGTGAGTGTATAACACCAAAAGCGAATCCTAACGTAAACTACAGATTTGGGGGGATTATGATGTGTCAGTGCAGGTTCAGCAACTGTAAGAGATGGACCACTGCAGTGGCGCATGTTAATGATAGGTAAGGCTATGCATGTGTCTGGGCAGGAGGTATATGTAAACTCTGTGCCTTCCACTCGCTATTGTTATGAACTCAAAACTGCTCTACAAAATCAAGTCTGTTTTCTCCAAAAGTCAGTTGATCAAGCGTTCCAGGTGGGAAACATCCATGTCCCTGTGTAAGAGCAGGGATCCCACTGATGTCTTACAAAGATCCCAGTACGTCGCATCTCACAGACCTGCTTGAGAATGTTCTGTTCTCTCATCAGCTTCTGCCGTTCTCTGTTGGGCTTGGAGAAGACCACTTCAAGTACATCTTGACCAGAGTTAGTGCCACCAGTGACAAAGTAAACCAAGTCTTCCAGCAGCTTGGTTACAGACCTTAGGGGGAAAGAAGCTATTAGAGATGGGAAATGTTCAACGTCCAATAGGTTGGAAGCTTCACCTTGGGCCACTCGGGCCTAATGAGCCAGTTAAACACAAGCAGATCCATTCTTCCGAATTTCCCTGAAAGTGACAACCAATTACCAAAAAGTGTAAAATACACACAACACATTATTGTCCACAAAAGGATAACCACCTTCACAAGATAGGAGCCATCAAATTTTATTTCAGAGTAACACTGGCTCCTAACATTTAGTGAGGTAGTTCCAGAAGCCAAATTGGAGACAAAGAAAAAGACCGATCTTTTCAACTTCAGAGACTTTCAAAGAAGTGAATGTGGTTTCTGAAAACCACAGGTTGAAGCCACGTATAAATGCTAAGGCCTGCTCCTCTCATACAAGGCTGTTCAGAGTTGGCGTTTTCTCTTTCTGCAAGCAAGAGATTTAAAAAATCCACAGTGGCTGAGGATGTGTCTGGTTCTTGTGGGAAGCCCTCACCTTCTTTCATTCTGGGTGATGGTGCCCTTCTCCAGCTTCCCAGCTATGGAGCCCAGCACCTTGCTGGCATCATTGGCAAAATCCAGGTCCCGAACCTCAGCAGGGGAAACTGGAACTATGGCAAATGCTTCCTTATCCTCTTTCACGGGGGAGGTGCCGATCTGAAAAGCAGAATGGTCTTTATGGAACTGTCTCTTGGACTGAGAGAGCGACACATTAATCAAACACTATATTTATGTGACACTGGGCTATCCAGAGAGCTAATGCTATCTTGCAGTTCAAATTAACTAGACATAGAAAAACATCTGGAAGGAAGTACCCCAAATCATTAACAGTTGTTACCTCTGGAGATTCTCATGGTGGGGAAGTGTGAGGCAGAAAATGGGCTGTGGTATCATTTTATACCTTCATTTGTTAAAGGTAGCATGTTAAGACTGTTGTAACTTAAAAACATGCTTATAAATACATAAGGAAAAAGCAAATGAGCAGAGTGGTAATTATTGACTCAGAGTATAAGGGTAGACAATGTACCATTCCTTCAGTTTTTCTGTATACCTGAAAATGTTCATAAAAATAGAAGAAAAAAATTCCAGTGACCTCCCCCATCACTAAAAAAATGTCAGAGCATCATTTCACTTTTTAAAAACAAAATCCCTATGGTTTGTGAATTTATGCTCTATGACCCTAAAGAAGGTAGTGAAGGAGAGGGGGGTTCAGGGAGAGAAATTAAAGGGGCTGAGAGAACTTTCAAAAAATAAAAGTATATTTAAATACACAGAGAGATAAAGAAATAATAAAGATTGGGGAAAACCGACTAGGTATCTGATGTGCCTCAAGGCATAAGCAAACATTCCCCCAGCCAAAATCATCCTTCAGACAGAGGTGAAATCCAGACAATTGCTCAACTTTTAGGGCAAAAGCTATGGAATAAAAAAGTTCTGGTTATCTCAAAAAGCTTGGGCTTGCTTTAGCCAGGTTCCTTGGAGAGAATTCTTTCACTGCATTCAAGTTTGTCCATGACCACACACTGGCCAAGCCAACAAAACGCAGTCCCTACGCCCCCATCTGTTCTCTGAGGAGCCCTTTCATTAGGGAACACAAGACCAAGGGAGGCAGCCAAGTTCCAGAACTCACTTTCAGCATCACAGGTTTTTCTTCCTCCTTGTCGATGGGGATATTTGTGCTGTGAACCCACGTATTAGTGCAGAGGTGTCTGAGCCGGACATAGGAGTTTCTAACGGGGGGAGAAAAAGGACTTGAGGGACAGGAATTTTTAGGTTTTCTACAGCCACTGGCCTAGGATACATTCTATCAAAAAAAAAAAGGGATACCAAAATGGTGTTTTGCTACATACACAATACACACAGTATAGACTGAGAAGCAAATGGCTGCACACTGAGATATATTCTAGTGTATTTACAATAAGAAATCATTCATCAGGATTCTAACACTGGGATATGCTGTATTTCTAAATATAAGATCACTCCTATGAATGAGTATCTCAGAACAAACTGAGGAGACAAAGCAACAACAAATATTTCCTGAGTATATATTAATGCATACCATGAGAGGTGATAAAGCAACACATGAAATCTTCATATGGATCAAAAATGCAAAAAATAAAATTACTAGGATAAAATATGAGTTAATATTTAATAATCTTGTGGTAGGAAGGTCCATAAATTTTAAAAGTCAAAGATGGATACATCTTATAATACAGTTTAAATTTTATATCTTCCGTAAAGCAAAAACAAAAAACAAAAATAAAAACAAAAACAAACAAAAAAACCCATCAGGAACAAAGTTGAAAGGAAAAGGACAACCTGGGAAAATGAAAGAATACCACATAGCGTAAAAAGGTTATTAATCTGCATTTATAAAGAGATCTTTAAAATCAGTAAGAAAAGAACATGAATACTGGAAATGAAAATGAGTAGGACATAAGCCAGTAATTTAATAAAGCAATATAAATGGCCAATAAACTTGAAAGTACACATTCAATCTCCTTAGTACAATTTATATAAATTAAAACTATGTATCATTTTACTCTACCATATTCCAAAGATCTTAGAGACTGATATAACCCAGTATTTACAAGAGCTTAGGGAAATCACCTCTCCTCACACTCCTGGTAAGAGTGTAAACAGGTGAAACTCTGCAAGGGAGTCTGGCACTTTATAAAACAAGTAAAATGTATCTACCTTTTCACCTAGCAATCCCATTTTTAGATTTTTCACTTAAAATGACAGCCCAAGTACAAACTGGGGCATAGAGACATTCAACAAAGCATTATCTACAAGAGCTGTAAACAATCCAATGTCTCAATAATGGACTAGTTAATTGTAGTACATACACTAGAATACTAAACATTTAAAGTGATTATAATCCATATATACTTGGAAATATGTACAGAACATACTCAGGGAAAAAATGTTAAAAATAGCTTATAATTCTATTTATGATAAATTATATACATGTTATCTGTGTGCCCAGAGACCTGTCTAAAACTACATAAATCATAATGTTAACAGTGGTTATCTCTCAATAGTTAAATTTTATGTAATTTTTATTTGCTTTTTTGCTCTCTGTGATGTTAACACATTTTTGTTGTTTTTTTACAGTGAACATGGGTAATTTTACAATGTTTTTCAATTTGCTTTAAGGAAGTAGTAGAAATAATGGCATAATTCTTGCATCAAGAATCTACCACATTAATGAGACAAGATCAATGAACACCAAGCAATAGTAAGTAATGGGAAATGCACATTAAAAAGCATTAAGTTGGGGGACAGTCAAGGTAAGTACTGAAGGACCTTTAGAAGAGGAGATCAATGAGGCTTCAGAAAGTCATGGAAGTTTTTTGTTACAGAAAACTTGAGTTGGAACTTTGAACATTGTTGGACCTGGGGCAGACAAGGGGTCCCTTGCGTTAGGGACGTCGTTTGTGTTAAATGGAATTTAGAGCAATGGTATAGACATGGAAAAGAGGTGAGGGTGGGGAGAGCATCAGACCAGACACCTATCTTCAGTACATCCTCTCTGCCTTCTGCTTTCCCTCATTCCAACTGCCCTAAACATTGTAAGTAAGGGCAAACATAGTGATATTTACGTAAAATAGAATGAATACATGTGAAACAACATGACCAAGAAATCTGACAGAGATTTGTAATTCTTTTTCTTCTGAGTGACTTGGACTCATTTTCTTAATTTCAAAGTATAACCAAAGCTTGGAGCTTAGCTTTTAATTGGATGATTACATTCTATAAAGTTCTAGGTCAAATTATATTTAAGACACAAAAGTGATTCTATCAATTCATCCCAAGTCCCATTCCAAATCCTTAACTTAAAAGCCATGAGATCAGGACAGTTACAAAACAGCCACAAAGTTGGATGCTCTCCCAATGTTCATTTAATTCCTCTATTTTACATATATTGCAATTTTATTATCTTGTTTAGTATATCCAGGATTTGCCATTATCCTTCTCATTTTCGCTTGGAAAGATTCTTTTAAACAGTAACTATCACAAAAATTCTTCTGCTGATACCATTTCAGAGACATTCATTTATCCACTTTCAGACTTCCTGATCTTCAAACAAGCAATATTTAGCACAACTTTAAGATTCAGGGGAATGAGTATACTACCCCTAAGGTTTTTTATCCTTCCACAGGACCAATGAATAAGAAGGCCATTCAATTCTGTCTCTTGGGTTGCTGGTCAAAGGCAAGAATGGATAAAAATTTTTAAAGTCCAATATAATTGGCAGACCATACTGGACACTTTTTCCATGGTGAATACAGACTTCCCTTGTTTAAGAGTTTAGAATCCATCTACCTATGGACAACTGTCCACCAAGAGTTTTCCAAAAGAGAAACAGAGATGAATCGAAGTGGATATAGAAGCAGGGTCTCTAACCAGCCAAAGCTGCTTGGCCATCTGACCTAAAAGCTTGGACTCAACTTCCCCCTTCCTACAGGATCATGTGGATTTCCAACCCATTGTGGAATATGGCCAACTAGCACCTTACTCCCCTTGCCAAGGGAATGCCACGAAGCACCTTCTAATAAAACAATGTGATATTTCAAATCACAGGGTCCTGTTCTTTGCTAGCCCTCGCAAACTAAAATATTTAGCATGTAATATAAATGCCATTCCCTTGTCTCCTGGGACCTAACCAAATTCATTAAATAACTACCAGAACAGAGGACAAATGGAAAATTACTTAAACAAAAGTGCAATTGGGTTCTACATACCTGTACTTCTCTAGTTAACAAGTCAATGAGAAAGGAAGTTTTTAAAAAGCTATCTACTGGGGCACCTGGGTGTCTCAGTCGGTTGAGCATCTGACTCTTGATTCCAGCTCAGGGTCATGAAATTGAGCCCAGCATTGGGCTCTGTGCTCAGTGTGGAGTCCACCTGGGATTCTCTCTCTCCCTTTGCCTCTGCCCTTCCCCCTGTACTCACACACACTCTCTCTCTCTCAAAATAAATAAAATCTTAAAAAACATAAAAAGCAATGTCCCATACTACAAACCATATTTTAAAGGGATCTCAAAATGGATCAAAGCCCTAAGAGTAAAGAGCAAAAACTATAAAACTCTTAGAAGAAAACATCAACATAATTGTTTGTGACCTTGGAATGGGCAAAAGCTTAAGCAATCAAAGAAAAAATAGATAAATTGGACTTCAACAAAATTAAAAACTTCTCTACTTCAAAAGACACCATCCAGAAAGTGAAAAGACAACCTAGAGAATGGGAGAAAATTCTTGCACATCATATATCTGGTAAGGGGTTTATATCTAGAATAAAGAACACTTAAAATTCAATAATAAAAAGACAACTCAATTTTTTAAATGGGAAAAGTTCTCCTAAGATGATACACAAGTGGCCAAAAAGCACATGAAAAGATGATGAACATTATTAGGCCTCGCAGAAACGCAAATCAAAACCACAATGAGGTGCCACTTCACACCTACCACGATGGCTCATATAAAAAGACAGTAACAAGTACTGGAGAGAGAGAATGTGGAGAAATTGGAACCCTCACACAAACATGGTAGAAATGTAAAATGGTGCATCCATGTTGAGAAACAGTCTAGCAGTTCCTCAAAAGGTTAGACAGTTACCATATGACGTAGCATTCCAATCCTAGATATATACCCAAGACAATGAAAACTGTGTACACAAATGTTCACAGCTGCATATTAGCCAAAAAGGGCAAACAACCCAAACGGCCATCAGGTAATAAGTAGATAAATATGGGGCGCCTGGCTGGCTCAGTCAGCAGAGCAAGCAATTCTTGATCCCAGAATCATGAGTTTGAGCCCCATGTTGGGCACAGAGATTACTTTAAATAAATAATGATATTTTTTAAAAAGAATGGGTATTAACCCTTTTTTTAGAAAAATAAAATATGAAAAAATAAGGGAGTATATGAAAAACCAGGGAGTACACCATCTTTTCTTGGGCATTTCGCAACCTGCTTCGAGAGGCGTCCTGATCAGGGTCCACCTGAGGAGGAAAAGTCATCAAGTCATGGATTTTGCACGTCAGACCCTCCCCTCACTACAATCACTGCACAGTCCACAGGAACAGGGAAGAAACAATAGCGAACATCAGCAGTTGGCAGGAAAAGAACCACAGTTTCAGAGCAGTCATGAAAGATGATAGTCGGCCACCCACGCCAAGATAAATACAATGTGGTATAACCACATAATGGAATATTATTTAGTGATAAAATAAAATGAAATACTAATACATGCTACAACATGGATGAGTCTTAAAAATACTAAGTGAAATGAGCCAGTCACAAAGGACCACATGTTACATTTATACAAAATGTCCAGAACAGGCAGATCACTAAAGACAGGACACAGGTGAGTCTAAGGCTGGAGATGGAACACAGGGAAATGAGAGTGATGGAGAAAGGGTATGGTGTTCTTTTTGGGGAAAAATGTTCTAAAACTGTGATGATAGCTGCCCAACTCTGCTCATCCCCTAAAAACCACTGAATTGAGCACTTAGGTGAATTGCATGGCATAGGACTTAGATCTTAACAAATCTGTTATTTAAAAAAAAAAGCAGTCTAAATCAGGAGTTCCAACCCTGGAGAATGCAACGCTGTGCACATACTTGAAATTTTCTAGAGAAACATGTCTAGCTCTCCCCACATTCTCAAGGAATTAACAACCCAGCAGAGTTTAAGAACCAAGTAACCCTTTAACTGGATGGCAATGGAAGGCCTCCCTGCAACGTAAAATCTCTTCTACGTGGACACTGTCCTCCGTTCATCACTCCAACAGCACGAGAGAAGCTTCTCTTCTGCTGATGGCACCCACACCGCACTTACCAGTCTCACTGACAGGTTAAACAGGGAAAGGGCAAGGACATACATGAATAACAAAACATAAAGTGATACTCAGGGAGACGGGCCATGTGTAAATCCTACAGATGCCAATGAGAACTGCCCCCAACAACCCTGTCTGTCTTCAACATTTAAGACTTTGGGCTCTGCAAAAGGGATTGGCTGACGTGTGATGAGTTGCTTGAACTCTCTGAGCTTCAGTGTCTTTATCTAGAAGAAGGGGCAAATAGGGACGCCTGGGTGGCTCAGTCGGTTAAGCGTCTGCCTTCGGCTCAGGTCATGATCCCAGCGTCCTGGGATCGAGTCCCGCATCGGGCTCCCTGCTCTGTGGGGACCCTGCTTCTCCCTCTGCCTCTGCCTCTCTCTCTCTGTCTCTCATGAATAAATAAATAAAATCTTTAAAAAAAAAAAAATAGAAGAAGGGGCAAATAGTAATACCTAGCTCACGAGGCGGGGAGGGAGGGTTGTGAAGATGAAATTACGTAACACAAATAAAAGTACTTAGCATTGAACATGGCATGCAGTCAGCACTCAATAAATGTAAGCCATTATTAATAATATTGCTGCTGATTTTGGTGTTAAGCATGAGTTTTCATCCCCCTTAGAGTCCAGTTATTCCTTCCACCAAAATGCATTCTTATGCAACCAAACTAAGAGTCAAATTTAACAAAATAACCAAAGAACACTGGTCTGACTTCTCAATACTCTACTACATACTCAGTGAACTACAAATATTCCATTTTCCAGAATTTCTTTACAACTGTTTATTCAGTTGACTAGGAGACCTCTCAAGTTTGGCAGTGAGGACATGAGTAGAGGAAACTAGAAATATGGAGCTACTTGAACTTACAGTTTGACTTGTTTACTTCTTATCCAACTCCTGAGAACTTGTAATTAATGAGCCATAAAAAAACCAGCCAACATTCCAATGGGCAACCAGAACAAATCCTTTACAAATGCTTCAAAAAAGGCAGTATGATTTGGATTCCAAGAAGCCCAGCCAGGCCACATACACCAGCTCTGACTCACTCGGGATAAGCCATTTTAGAATCATACCTTGGAACAAGGCTATCACCTCCACGGAGAGTGGTGGGGTCTAGTTCAAAAATGGAGGAGATGTCATTGCCTTCAGGCACAGAGACCAGGGAGTACACCATCTTTTCTTGGGCATTTCGCAACCTGCTTCGAGAGGCGTCCTGATCAGGGTCCACCTGAGGAGGAAAAGTCATCAAGTCATGGATTTTGCACGTCAGACCCTCCCCTCACTACAATCACTGCACAGTCCACAGGAACAGGGAAGAAACAATAGCGAACATCAGAAGTTGGCAGGAAAAGAACCACAGTTTCAGAGCAGTCATGAAAGATGATAGTCGGCCACCCACGCCAAGAATATTTACACTCTACCTCCTTGTGTTGCAATAAAAATGTTTAAACAATGCAGGGTTACAGTAACAGATGTCCATGGAAAGAGTGCTATATAGGTGATGAAGAAGTCCGTATGGCTACATCCGTCTGCAGTAGTTGGAAGAGAAAAGAAGCTCTTTGAGAAAACTCATCCTGTGGATTTGGTTATGGGTCATTGTGTTAATCTACGGTTAAATGATCTAGCAATAATATGATACATCTACTTCCCAGGAGAAAAAGTAAAATAAAATAAGTCTGAATCCAAGTGTTCGTAAGCAGAGATCCCAGTGTGGCCAAGAAAAATATTTGAGAAGTCAGACTAGCCCTGAAAAAAACATTCGTAATTAATCAAGGAGCGCTGCCGATGACAATACAGGGGAAAAGGGGCCTCTCTTGCTATGTAAGGGATTTGGCGGAGGCTGAAGAAAATCTCTGACAGTTAAGACTAATGAACAATGACGAAAGCTTTCCTGAGAAACTATAAAAACACATTCTCGGCTCCAGAGCCCATCTGCCTGAGCGGATTTAAGCAGCATGCTTAGACTGTCATGTCCTCTCACAGGTTTTGCAAGGTGTCTCCCAGCGCTGTGACTCTACGTGGGATTATTTTTAATTTTTAACGTCCTTGCAAGAAGACAACATCCACTTGCATCTACTGGGAAAATCACATTTTCTTTGTCACTAACTTGCTTTGCTTGGGCTGAGGCACTGACTCCTTTCCAAACGGGGAATGGATAAAATGAAATCAAGTTCAACAGGCAAAGGAGAGAGCATGAGAGAATTTATTTCCAGGGCCTGACATCTAAGATCGCAGGCAATAGTCTGCTCTAGGAGTTTATCGGCAGCCCCAACTTCTGTCTGAGAAAAGGAAGAAGGGAGTGGGGGGAAGGGCGGAGAGGGGGATGGAGAGAGAGATAGGAGGGAGGAATGAAGGAGGGGAGGGAGAGAAGGAAAGAAAATACAAATGCTTCTTTTAAGCTCTGTGCCTTCCTCCCTATGTCCTCTCCTCTCATACTTTGTAGCACTACCTAAACAAACCCACAACTCACCGTTCGATCTACCCTCAAGTATGAATCAAGGGGAGAGCACCAAGTACCTCAGTTCAAGAAAAAGCTCAGTCCTCTTCTAACTACTCTGACCTGCAAAGTCTTCCACACACCACTTTCAAAATAAACCCTGACCTGATTCTGGCTTGAGACACACAGCTCAGCTATACAGGCTGGCAGTTCAATTTCAGACCTGCCAGAACACTGAAGAAAAATTAAAATTGCAGAGTGCCTGTATCTGGACCTGTGACTGAGCGACAGCATCTTCGCGTTCTTTGTGTGCAGTCGGTGTTTGCCACCTAGTGGGAGGAAAGGTGCAAGTACAAAAGGCTGCGAGACGAGAGCCAGCCTGGGGTCGTCCTTTCTCTCCCTCTGGCGTCAAGCATGTGGCTCATGGGGCTGCTAAATTGAGAAGGACGAGCTCAACAAGCTAAGTAAGATTCCAGGCAAAGGTTGCCACAAGCACTGGATGCCAGTCTCGGGAACATACGTGACCCACGAGCAGAACAAAGTTTCCTCTCCCAAACTTTCCCAACTCCAGCTTTTCTGCTCAAGTTTCCCGGCCCACAAGAGGGTGAGGGGTGCAGGACTCTCCCAAGGCTAACAACTTCCCCAGAGAGGCAGGAGCTGGGCCATTGGCCTCGTTGGTGCAGGGTGAGTCCCCCAACCCCTCCTCCATATGAAGACTGCCACCCAAGCAACATCCAAAGCAGCCAGAGCAATGCAGTCTGGATCTGCACCCAAGCCTGCTGGCATATTGCACCACCGTGGCATGGAGAAACATGAGAAAGTAGAAAGATGACTGAACTCTGAGAGAACCGAGACATGTGACGAGTTAGGACCACGCTCTGGTTCCTCATTGGTCCTACAAACATCATACAGTCTCCCCTAACTCCTTTCACTGCACTGCTGTGTAGCCCAGATGAACTCATGCATGTAAAGGCACTAAAAAATGCTACTGATCTTGTGCAACTTACACAAATGCTACTTACTGAGCGCTTACTATGGGCCACACCTTAGGCACCACACCTCAGCTCGTCCTTACGACAAGCATATCCGCCGCTTTCACAGAGGAGGGAAGTGAGGGCCAGAGAGGGGAACGTAGCTCCTTCAGTCACACAGCTCATCCAAGAGGGGGGTCTGCTATTTAGACCCAGCTCTGCCTCACTTCCCTGCCCTGCTTTGGATCACTGCATTCTTCCTCCAGCACTACAAATGTTGGACCTCCCCGTGCCCACCAACAGGCCAGGAGAGCAGCCCCGTTCCTCACAGAGCTCAAGGTTCAAATGGACATCAGCTCTCACTGGCAGAAGCTACAGCACTCCTTCCAAGTCATCTCAGAGAGGAGACTTCCTCTGTGTTACAGCCCAGATGGCCATGCTAATACCATTAGATGCAAGTCCCACAAAGGCAGTTATTTCTCTCAAAATCAAGAAGGTGCAGGGACAAGAACTGCCTTATGAAAAATGGCGCCCCTGCTAGTCCCAGCCTCTGGAGACCGGCCACATGAACACTGCACACCGATGTTGGGCAAAGATTTCCCTGCACATTGGCAAGAAGTCGGGCTAGGTCAGTGCTCTCAACCTTCCAGGCGATGTGGAAGGGCAGCTTTCAAAATGAGCTCTGGAAGTGAGGGTGAGGAAGATGAAAGGAAGGAACAGGACCCTCAGCTGCTCCCTCCAGAATTGGAAAAGACATGAACTCCTGCAGCAAGTCCGGGAACTCAGGATGTGAAGCCCTCGGCTAGCACTCCTCTTCCTTCCTTCTGAAGCTAACATTCTATCCAAACATAACTGCAAGGGTCATCCTTCCCACAGAATTTGGACCTTCCAAAGACAACTGCATTCTGTATTATGTCCACCCCAAACCCCTTTATTTATGGATCCACCTTAAAACCTGTAAGTTCTTCCAAAATTTTACCGCCCCCCACCCCACCCCGGCAAAAAAGAAATAAGCTCAATACCACCTACCATATTCACCAGAGATGATCACATGAACACACAATGTCAGAGTAGCAATTATTTGCATTTTTTAAAATCCTAGACCAGAATGAAGTGCTTTAATGATAGCCATCATTTCTATATAACACAACCACTGCTCTCTTTAACCCATAGTTGTGGACAGTTCAACCCTCGAGTGCCTCCAAATCAGCATTAATTGGTTATATGGCTTCTAAAGAAGGATCCTGTTGGCATTAAATTCTAAACCACATTATAAAGTTTATTTCTGAGTTTGCAGAAAGCAAGGACAGATGGTTAGACAATTAAGTGTCTAATCAGATGTCAGGAGCACCATGCTTCAGGTGTTACCTCCATCATCTAAATGACACTATCCATCTCACACACTCATTCCCTGAAAAAATCTGGGTGAGTCATAGATTGAGGTCAACAGCAATCAGATATTCATTTGTAAAAGGCCGACTTCTTAAGGGGCCATCTCTGTCTCTAACCTAAGGGCATTCCAAGAGATACCATCAACTTCTACAACTTAATAGCGGAGACCCCTTGATGAAGCACACAGAAGGAGCATCATCTGACAGTCTTGGACCAATCAGAACACAGGAAGATATGACTGCCCTCAAGGGAAGCATAGAACAAGACCCTCTTTTAAGTCATCCTAAGGTGTCCCCTTCCCCATCACTCAATGACAAATGGCAGTTTCTTCAAGGGGATTCCAGATCATTTGGCCTCACCCTACCAGATGGAGACAAGAAGGCGCTTGCTCATACTTACTGAGGGCTGAAACTCCAGGCATTCTTCCTCAAAGTCAGGGTCTACCTGATGAAAAAGAATCATTAGGAAATTAAAACATCCATTGATTTCTCCAGGACTCGGCCCCACTTGCAGGAGACTTCAAGGCCTGCGAACATCTCTGAACAACTAAAAACTTGTCCCTTCCCTCTGTTCATGAAACCAGCATGCCACAACAACACACATCACATGAGTACAACACACACGGAACGATCTACCAGTCACCAAAAGACGGCTCTCAAGTGTTGACAGAAGAACACAATGAATTCACTAGCAAAGCAACAGTTACAACCCTGAGATAAATAAAAGATCAGTATTCAGTCATTGATAATCCTTAGTTTTAGTCAGAAATAAAAAATTTGTGGCCTCCAGCAAGAGTTTACACTCGCTTCAGAACATAACAAATAATGCAAATACCATTGATCTTTGGCAAACCATGTAATCAACATTTCTCACAGCTGGTTAGCTGGGTCCATAATTCCTTAGGGCTTCATTTTCAATGTCAACTTAGTCTTGACCTTCAGTTCTTAAGTATTTCGAAATCATCACTTCTTACAAGAATCAGGCATCCCAGGGGGTTCAGCACATTTAGATTCAGCTTTCTTTGGGGTCAGCTGCAGAAGCAATACTAGCACCCATGCATCACCCTGAAAAACCTCTGGGCCATCCCACAGTGGGAGGTATGTGTTGATGTACGACTAGAATCTGATACGAATGTGTATCGTACATCTTCTAGCAGATCAGAGTAAAACTCAGCATCTGTCACACAGTATGATGGCTCCTTAATTTAACACAAAAATTAAAAAGTAAATTCCTCCTGTCCTTCAATACTGAGTCTTGCCTTTCCTCAAAAACCCTTTACAGACATTTAAGGTAAAGTTAATTTCCTTGATTTTTGGCATTCTTGCAAGTAAAAGACAAGACCCTCTCTATTCCACTAGTGCTCTGAGAACCAGAATACTTGTAAAATTGTCTAATTCTTCGTGTCCTAATGCTTCCAGCTTTACATACCATGTTTCACTACAGCTGAGTCTTGGACATTCATGTTAGGATCAGGGCTGGTAGATAAGATGTGGGGAGAGCAAAATGCAAGAGAAAAAATTTCTATAATCCTAAATCCCAGATTAGCATTCTTTTCTTTGTTTTTTTAAATTTACTCTCTTAGCAACTTCCAAATATACAGTATAATTAACTACAGTCATCGTGCTGTACATTACATTCCAATGACAGTATTATTTTCTAACTTGTTTTCTCCCCATATCTTGATCAAAATCCCTGTGAAGTACTAAAATGTGTTAATCATCTTTACCTTTTCTTGTCTATAAGCAGGGAAATGAGGCAGGAGGAAACAAAAAGCAGAAGGAAAAGCAAGGTGACTGAGCATCTAACTACCCAATGGCCACAGGTAAATGAAGAAAAAGGAATGTCTCAGGCTTGAAAGAAAAAGACACAGAGGCTGCTCCTTACCTCTGCTGCTAAGTAATGCCCTGTAGCAAGATGCTTGAAACGGAAGAGGCTGTTCCAATATCCTGCTCCACCCCGACACGGGTCATGTTGGACCACCTACAAGAGGAGAAATGATTAACAGGAGTGCAAATAATGTCAACCCATATTAAGACAACACTGAGACTTCACACATAAGTCATAGTTCAGCAGTGATATTTACTAGCTAAAAAAAAAATGAGTATCTTCAAACAAAGCCATTGCAAGTATCATACGTAACGTCAGAGGTCAAACATATGAAGTGCTATGTTTCTCCAAAGAAGAAATAGTCTCCCAGTTAATACGAAATGATTCCAATAAAAAGCTGAATGTTTCTCAGATTATTTGCTTTAATCATAATAAAGTAGAAGTTAAGATTCTACAATTCATCCATAAAAGGCATGACAAATAAAAAGACATTCCAGAGGACACTGTGAAAGCATTCTATACTTGTACTCATGTGCTGAAACACATAGATAAGCCGGGGCTCTGAAACTTGAAACTCACAGAGCCTGGGCCAATTTACCATAAAAATACATATAACTTCAGCTTCTGGTCATGACGGTATAACTGGCACTGGTATTTGGTGCCATGAACAATTAAACACTGCACAAAATATATGAACTTGCTATAGACAATTAGAAAACTGGATAAAATACAGGAAACAATTGTGTTCAGATGTTGGACAACAGGCAGTACACAATTGTGATCTCTGAGAAAGGGGAAACAAAGTGATCTTCATGAATATTCCAGCTTTCTGCCTTAATGTTCTCTCTGGATGGTAGTGTTGGGAAGAAGAATCCAAGCAGAAGACACCAGTCTGAGTTGAGGAGATACATCAGAATTCAGGGAGACTGAAGTGGCTGGAATTTGCTGGGGCAGAATACAGAGCTACCCAGAGAAAAAGCTCCAGACATCTACCCAGGGGCCTCCTTGAGTTCTTGGTTGAATACCAAGTTGCATATGTGTAAGTTGAGACCACACAAGACCAAATGAAGAATGACAGGAAAGCTGTGAGCTCAACGTTCTCATTGCTCAGTTGGGGCTGGGTGGTGTTCTGAGAGATTCCATGGAATACCTGGGGCATTCAGCAAAAATGTCAAAAGGGTTACACCTTAGTAATGGGGCCAATCCAGCCCTAAAAAAAGAAAAAAGACTGTAACACACTTGATTTAGCAAAGCTTTAAAATAAGACTCCAAAGCCTCAAACTGATTCACAAGTAACTTTACTGTCTAACAAAACAAAACTCAAAACTCTTTAAAGGAAGACAACAAAATACAGACACTCCACAAAGTAGCACCACAATGTTCAGCATATAACCATGAAGCACTGGACAGATAAGAATCAGGAAAATGTGACCCAAAAACTCAGTGACCTGTCAGACAATATCAAATGATCCAGCACGTCTGTGTGGGTTGGTGGGGGCAGGAAAAATATTTGAGAAAAAAATGAATCCAAATTTTCCCATTTTAATACATATACAGATTCAAGAAACTCAATGAACTCAAAGCCAGGATAAACACACACACATACACACCTACACACCCACCCACCAAGGAACATCATGATTAGATTAATGTAAACCAGAAATAAAAAGAAAAAT